GTGAGTTGTCTCTCAATTTCCTTCAGTGCTGGAATACTGACTCTGGCAAGGCCTTCTGGATGGGCTTTCTTCGTCGGTCTGCTGCAGGCAGCTTACACCTTGACGGGGTACGGTATGGTCGCTGCCATGTGTGAAGAAGTGCAGAACCCTCATCGCGAGGTCCCCAAGGCCATCGTCCTGTCGGTCGTCGCCGCTGGTATCACCGGTCTCATCTACCTGATCCCCATTCTCTTCGTTCTGCCAACCGTGAAGGACCTCCTCAGCGTGGCCAGCGGCCAACCCATCGGCCTCATATTCAAGACAGCGACTGGCTCCGCGGGGGGTGGCTTCGGGCTGCTGTTCCTCATTCTCGGCATCGCGATGTTCGCCGGTATTGGCTCCCTGACGGCTGCAAGTCGGTGCACCTACGCATTCGCCCGCGACGGGGCCATCCCCGGCTTCCGCCTCTGGCGCAAAGTCAATACGCGCCTCGATGTGCCCGTTTATGCGATCTTGCTCTCTGCAGCGGTCGACTGCCTCCTGGGCTTGATCTACTTTGGCTCGACCGCCGCCTTCAACTCGTTCACCGGGGTCGCTACGATCTGCCTCTCGACTTCGTACGGCCTCCCCATCCTCATTTCCATGATCCGTGGACGTCGAGACCTCAAGGACTCTACCTTCTCTCTCGGTGCGTTCGGGTATGCCATCAACGCGGTCACAGTGTGCTGGATCGTCCTGGCCGTGGTCCTCTTCTGCATGCCCGTCTCCTTACCGGTGACTGCCACCTCGATGAACTACGCCAGCGTCGTGTTTGCTGGGTTTGCGGCAATCAGTATTATTTGGTACTTTGTCTATGCTCGCAAGCATTTCACCGGACCACCTGCGTCGGCCGAAGAAATAAGGGCGCAGCCTGTGATGACCGGGAAGGCGGTTGTAGATGCTGAGAATGCATATTCAGATGGATCGATGTCCATGAAGAAGGTGGAGCAATAATCTTGTACTAGTTTTCTATTTTCATGACCTCTTTTCTTTGCCTGGTGCAGATGAGGGTATCCGTCGAGTCTCACCCATATGTGTCTATATGTATCACCACAATAAAGAGGCTAGTCACATAAAGTGAATTGATGAGATGTAATTGACCATAATTTTTTTTCATCTGTCTATAAATCAATAACCTGATTTGCCAGAAACGCCAGCTTGTGAAGGGTTCTGTTGACGATAACGCGGAGCTGTTGGTTGTCATTTGTCAATCACAGGTCCCAGCTGCCAGGGACTCCGAGAGCCGCGGTACAACTTCTTTGGGCAAAACATCTAGCAATCACGATAGCCAACGCATCTACCCCGTCTTATCATCCGTCAATTGCACAAAAAAAAGGAGAATACAACGTCTGATACAAGAACCTCAATCTTAAATTCTGACCATAATACCCCTTTCGCCTCCCACTCCATCCAGTATCCAATTGCTGTTTGTCGGCGCTGAAATCCGGGGAAGCTTGGGGATCTCGTGCGGTCCGCTTCGAGCATCCTCAGTAATCAATCAACATTCGCCTCTCCTTTTCTGAACTCGACAACCAACCGGTCCCAGCGCCGTCCGAAGCGGAGGACCGTCTTCAAAGCTGGAGCAACCACCGTTGATACTCGCGCGATACCTCCAGGAGAAGCCACCGCCGGTATTCGTCGCTCGCAAGTTCCCTGTCAGCTCTCATGAAGGACAGGCTCGGTTCGAGGCTTCGGATCTCACCATGTCGGACTCTGTGGGTATGTAACCGACCACAAGGGTTCTCGCGTTCATCGGGGTGCTGATGTGTTGGTTTCGTTTCTAGATCGAGTCTTCGTCCATGCCCTCAATACCGTCAAACGCATCCCGCGGACGGGCACCTCGAGACCGCCTGCGGCGGAGAGATTAAAGCTTTATGGGTTGTACAAGCAGAGCATGGGTAGGCGCTTCTTCGAGACGGGGATTAGGGTTTGCGTGTGCTGGATAGATATGCTGATTGATGATTGATACCTTAGAGGGCGATGTGGAGGGCGTCATGGACCGACCCATCGGGAACACCGCGGACGTCTACGCGGAGTGTGAGAAATGGTATACTGGCCCCTCTGCTTTTTTGATGTTACCATATCCGGTCGGGGTGGCTGATCAAGCGTAGGGACGCATGGTACGCCCAGCGCGGGCTCTCCCGCACCGAGGCCAAACGGCGCTACATCTCTACCCTCATCGACACAATGCACCGCTACGCGTCGCAGACCCCCGAGGCGCGTGAGCTCGTCGCGGAGCTCGAGTTTGTCTGGGACCAGATCAAGTCGAATGCCTCGTCCTCCTCCTCGTCGAGCCCCATGCAGAATGTGGGCGTGCCGCCGATACCCCAGCCGAACTATGCGAGTATCGGGGGCCGGTTGGCCCGTCCGGTCTATGAGGATATCATTGCTACGGCGCGGGATAATCACAGTCGTGAGCGGAATCGTGGAGATCCCAGGTTACGTGTCCTCAGTCCGGTGAGTCAGCCTGATGGGCTGTATGAGCGGCGCGGGAACAGGGACGTTGTGGATGAGGAGGTACAAGAACCAGAAGACGAAGATGAAGAGGACGAGGAGGACGAAGAGTACGAGGAGGCTCAGGATACCATTTATGAGGACGATGACGACAACGACAACAACAACAACAACAACAACAACAACAGCAACAGCAACAACCAAAGCCAGCAGAACAGCCACAGATTCGATGATGATCCCGACGATGCGCAGTCCCGAGGGCGAACGCGAGCGTTAGAACCAGCAACAGCAGCAGGGGAGAAGAAACATCGCGTTGTAAGCTCCGGCGAGCGCGACCGCCGATGGCGACGGAGGGTCGAGCAGGCCTTGACCAAGATGACCGCCGAGATCGCCGCGGTCCGCGAGCAGATGGAGGCGCGGACCCTGGCAAGCCGTCGCCGGTCTGCGCTGTGGACCTGGCTGAAGTGGATTGTGTGGGTGACCTTGCGGCAGGTCATCTTCGATCTGGCAATCTTGGGCATGGTCCTCATCTGGATGAGGATCAAGGGCGACCGACGTCTTGAGGAGAAGCTCAAGGTCGGGTGGTCCGAGGTGAAGACTCGACTGGCCAAACTCAAGTCCCTGCGACGGTTTCCCGGCCTAGATATCTTCTGATTATTTTGGACGGTCGCGTAACTTTCTCTTTCTCTAGTACATATTGTGTTTGCAATTTCTTAGGTTTCCACCATCATGGGCTTTCATCCAGTCAGGCGTATCTCTCCTTCGTTTTGGTCCTTTTCCTTCTTGTATCATTGATGGCTGGATATTCTACACATACAGGGACTTCCTTCAGCAGGTGTCGATGGCTTGAAGTACGCATGCATCTGAGGGGTATACTGTATTCTAATGCATACTAGACGCATCCTTTATGAGGCATCAACCTGGAGTACTCCAGACAAGCCCTAGTCCTGGACATTGATTATTGCTCCGTAAAAACGACGTGATAGAAACAATTGTCATTCCTGATGCTAATATATACACAGACAAGTCTTTCGATCAGAAACACCGAGATTCCACGACAGAAAGCGAACGAGGAGTGGGAATTAGGAAAAGAGACAGACACCCTAATATTGAGGACCGGGGAACTGGGCATACAGCTGCTTGGGTCGCAGATGTACGGGGGTCTGGCCCTCGGGGGCTCCAGGGATGGTCTTCTTAAGGCCCTGTTCATTGTCAGCACAGCCCGAATACTGTCTGTCGAAGTTGAGTTGTAGAAGGTGGATCGAGCCAAGAACGCGGACGTACCAGCTTCTCAAAAACGCAGCTGTTGAGCTCCATCTCGGGCTTCCGGCACTCCCATAGATTTTGGTTGTTGTTCTCGAGACATTCCCAGTGAGCGTTAAACTGCTTCAAGCAGTGGGTGTTGATGTCCTTGATCCTGTGCCACAATATGCCTCGATTAGCCTCGGACCGACTATTGCACAACCAGCGTAGAATCTGAACGCAAGCACGGTCAAGAAACGACAGGAGAAAACGTACACGCTCGCCGCACAGCGGGTGACCTTCCGACCCTCCTTCAGACAGTCCATCTCTCCCCGTCCATTCGCCTCGGCCTTGCACTTCATGAAATCGTCATTGAAGGCCTTGCAGCGGTCCCCGATAAAGTAGGATGCGCTCAGTAGCGGCGCAGACGTCGCTCCAATCTCCTCCACCTTGGGGATGTCGCTGGGCATCGGGGTGGTGTCCACGAGGACATGTTGGTTGAACCTGGGTGCTGGTTAGTTCTCGCCGGGGCTTGCGGGGAAGGGCGTAGAGGGTTCAATTGGAGGCAGGATCGAGCGAGGAACATACTGGGGCTCTCTCCGGGACATCTTGACGGGCTGCCTGGCTGGGGGATTTGCTCAATTACAGAGAGACGGGCGGGATGTCGTGAATGGAGTGAGCGGTTCAGAACGGACGGAGCTGCGAGTTTGGAAGGGTCGGTTTTTGCGTGTCTCTGATTGGCTGTGGTGTAGATTATGTAAGGTGATGCCGGTGTCTGCGCATTTCAGATGCTGCAGTATGGCCCAGGTGCCTAGGTAACCGGCTCGTCAATGTGTTCATGATAAAGGTCAATAGCATCAGCCATCTAGTAGTGTCAATATCATGTAATTGAATCAATAATCCCAAGTCTCAATTGCTCACATTGAACAAAGTGTTGTCTATTCGCATTGTGCCTGGTCAGTATAAATCACGTGATGTAGCCGCGAAAAACAAAGCAGCTCCCAGTGAAGTTGACAAGCTCCAGCTGCTGTTGTCTTTATACACACCGATTTCTTTTACCGGGCCACTTCTCTTCCCTTACAATGAGGTGCTGAAAGCTATCCTTGATTGAATCCTATATTGAACGCAAAGCAGGCCCGGCGACCCCTCGCTTGTCAGAACCTTAATTCACTCACTTCAGTGTAAGCGTTGCTGGAGCTTCGAATCGCATAAATTCCGCCGCCCTTCGCTCTCAATCGCGTTAGTGTTTGCACCAGAGCGCAGCGCTTTCGCTTAATCCCTTCGACATGTCTCTCTTCGGAGGGCAAACTCAGTCAGGTGGTGGACTATTTGGATCCGCTGCCGCAAATAAACCCAGTGGCTTTGGCGGGTTCGGTTCGAGTACGACAGGAACACAGCAGAGCGCCGGTGGTGGCTTATTTGGATCGCCACAAACCCAACAGAGCTCTACAGGAGGGGGCCTGTTTGGATCCAATGCGACATCGCAGCCGCAGCAGCAACAGACTGGCGGTTTTTTTGGGTCCTCAACGACAACCCAGACGCAGCCCCAGACTGGTGGAGGCTTGTTCGGATCTACAACACAGCAGAAACCCCAGACAGGTGGTCTTTTTGGCGGTGCTTTAGGCCAGACACAACAACAACAGCAGCAGCAGACGACGACCGGCGGTGGAGGATTGTTTGGGTCAACACTTGGGCAGCAGAAGCCGCAGGGGAGCAGCCTGTTTGGAGGATTGGGTCAGCAGCAGCAGCAACAACAACAACAACAACAGACTCCACAACAAGGAGGCGGGCTATTTGGAGGCCTTGGGGCTACTACACAGCAACAGCAACAACCTCAGCAGCAGAGTCTGTTCGGTGGATCCGTCCTTGCAAGTCAACAGCAGCCGCAATTGGGGCAGACTACAACACAGCAGCCAGGCTCTAGCCTGTGGTCACCAGGCCGCGCTGTTACAGGAGGTTCGTTTCGATGGTCAGATTGTCCAGACTTAAGCGCCAGGCTAACTTTGACCACAGTACATCGAACTGTACCCATGCAAATAGAGATCGTCAAGAACAAATGGGACACGGGCAGTCGCGCGTCGCCATTCAGAACGTATTTGTACAATCACGTCGGGGATCAGGCTCCCTTCTATCAGCCTACTGCGGAGGACGACGAAACGAAATGGGAAGAGGCTCTACGCGAAAGACCCGGCTCCGGATATGTGCCGGTGTTGGTGAGAGGGTTCTGGGAGCTCGGCAAGCGAGCGCAGCGGCAAAAGGATTTCCTCACAATGGCCCAGACCCGCCTACATGAGATTAACAACTGTCTCACGGACCTGCTGTCTCGTCATGACCTGAAGATATCTGTCAAGATCGCCGACTGTCGCCGGAAACATTTAGTTCTAAGCAAGCGCTGTCTCGCTTTAGCGGCAAAGACTCAAGTCCTCAGGAACCGAGGCTACGCAATGGATGAGGCAGAAGAAGAACTTAAGAAGAAGCTCGCACAGCTGGAGCGGTCTGTCTTTGATCCCTCGCTCAACGGGCGGGCTGAGGAAATCTGGGCCCGCATGTTGGCGATCCGGGAACACTCGAAACGCTTGCAGGCGGAGATGGAGAAGGCGGGCGCTTCAACGGCTGCTCAGGGCGAAGAGGAAATGGACGAGAATACCATGAAGACTGCAAAGAAGGTTTGTCTACTCCTTCGAATCGCACTGCGTTCAAGCGTCCCTGTGGCCAGCTTACTAATTTTTCCCAGATCTTGGATGATTATCACGCACAAATCACACATCTGCAAAAGGAATTCGAATCCGTCAAAAAGGATTTTGAAGAGGCGCAGAAGCTTCAGGGACCGGTGGATCATTGAGATAGATAGGTCAACGTAATCAAGCGAGCAATGTAATATTTGGCACCTGGTGTTTCATCCTCTGGTTCTGGTACTAAGCAGCCGATTTTATATGGAGCTGATATCCTGCACCAATCTCAGTCTGGCCCTCATCTACATGATCCTATCTAATGCGGTTGAAGACGCTACATCAGGAGTTTTCACTTTTTTGGTCGGTCTGATTTCCTTTATACCCGGTAAACCCCCAAAAAATACCCATGTACAATAGTAATACATTATGCGTGGAATTCAAGCGAGACTAAATGCTCTGCCATAATCATCGCCCTGAACAGTTGAACAAGCTATCCAACGACATGAAGGAACCGATCTTTAGAGGAACTTCTTGACGAAATCGACGGCGAAGGGAGCTGATACATTGACCGGTTAGCTGCTATGGCACCTTCGATAGGAGACACATTCACAAGCACTCACAGAGGTAGAGAAGGATACCGCCGGTGATAGCAGCGCGGACGGTCTGGCTGGCCTGAGCCTCAGCAGCCTGCGCAGAGTTGCTGTTAGCATTTATAGATGCGGCAATAATGTATAGGATGAGGTCGTTTCAGCGAGCAATGCGCATTACAGCGCACGAATGAGGTTCGAGGGGATAAGAGGGGGATTTACTCTAAGCTCCTCCTTGGAAACCTGTTCTTGACCTGGAGACAGAAAGTTAGCTAACTGCACAAAGCAGGGCAGAACTCGAGTTGACAGATGATTCGAGGCTTTAGAAATGTAGCGAGTGACTTACCGGGAGCAAACATTTTGATCTGAGTCTTATTTGTATGAAAGGAATTGTATTGACAGAGAGAGTGGTATACTTGTATCCGGAGTCAGAAGAATCGATATGCCAACTGCAGTCTCGAAATGCGGACGCACGGACCACGTAGCGGAGGCGGAATTTCTGCTATTGCTGTTTCTGCTGCGACATCTCCCAACGCCAGTAATACCAGCCTCCAGATAACTGTTTCTTCTCTCATATACATATTCTGCTGCATCCGCTCATTGAGCGTTGTTCTTTGAATCTACACCTCGAGACTTGTTTCTGTTACTACTCCGTTACTTCGCCCTCACAACCGAAGGAATCGTGGTTGAGGCGGAGCCGCATCAGGCGCTCCGATACCTACCCTGGGATCGTCACATCAACACAACTCAAGTCTACGATCATCAACGATAACATACAACATGTCTGACAGCCCAGAAATGAAGCCCTCCTCACCGGCTGATGTTGTCGCCGACCACGAGCTCCGGACAGATCTGCCCGAGGAACCAGTAAAGGCCCCGACTCCTGGCGGCGACGAGGACGACCACGTGGACCACAACGAGGAAGCACATGAAGAGGGAGCAGCATCAGCGACACCAGCGGCAGAGTCGGTAGCCGAAACCCATGAAGATGATGCGGCCGACAAAGAGGACACGGGGGTCGATTCCGACGAGGAGTCTATTCTTTCTGAAGTGGATGAGGCGCAGTTTGAGGATTTTGATCCTGAAAATGTCGACATTGAAGATCGCCCACAGCTCGCGATCGACGAGGATAACCTCAAGTTGATCGGTCGTCACAAGCGCAAGCGGACGGAGGAAGATGGTCAACAAGCGAAGCGGAAGAGGGAAGGGCGCAGAGAGAAGAGGAACCGTCGGAGGGATACGGAAGAAGGTGCTGACGAGGGCGAAGATAAGTCCCGTCGCAGAGACCGAAAGAAGAGAGACGCCACTCCTGAAGATGAGGAGTTGCTGGACCCTGCTACGCGTATGTCGCCTTTGGTATCTTGACGGGTGAAACAAAGACTAACACTATGGACGAACAGGTCGTCGCCGAGCTCTCGACCGTGCTATGGATGAAGCTTTGAAGAAACCCACGAAGAGACGCTTCCGGAAGGCAGACGGCATTGTATGTTTATACTTTTCGAACTTAGGAGTTTAGGATTGGGTAGCTAACCGAGTACGCAGGATCTGGAGCAAATGGCCGATGCTGAAATCGAGGACATGCGCAAGCGAATGACACATGCTGCCCAGATGGACGCCAACAATCGACGCGAAGGCCGTCCCGCCATGCACAAGCTGAAGATGTTGCCGGAAGTCGTCTCGCTCCTTAACCGTAACCAATACGTCAACAGTCTGGTCGATCCTGAAATCAACCTCCTTGAAGCCGTCAAATTCTTCCTTGAACCTCTCGATGATGGATCTTTGCCGGCCTACAACATCCAACGCGACTTGATGACTGCTTTGGGCAAACTCCCCATCAACAAGGAGACATTGATCGCTAGTGGAATTGGCAAGGTGATCGTGTTTTATACCAGGAGCAAGCGTCCCGAGCCTGGCATCAAACGTATGGCTGAGCGGCTGCTCGCCGAATGGACTCGTCCCATCTTACAGCGGAGCGACGACTACTCCAAGCGGGTCTACCAGGAGGCTGAATATGATCCCAGGTATGCCATCCTCTGTTCTTGTTCGAAAAAATTGCGATCCGCATGCTCACAAGCGCTACAGGAAACTCACCGCACGTACCACATCTGCTCAGGCAAGCGTTGCAGAAGCCCGTTCCCGAGAACTGCTTCCTCCCCGGTTGGCGAACCGTGCCCGTGCCGAGATTACCCATACCAGTTACACTATTGTTCCCCGCCCGACTGTTGTGCAGGAGAGCAAGTTTGCACGTCCATTAGGAGCCAGCGGAGAGGATCGATTCCGGAGAATGCGGGCCCGACAGATCGCTGCGTCGAAGGGATCGCGACGCTAAACTCGGAAGCAGATCCGTTTGCATTTCAGCTTCTTTATTTTTCTCTTGTATCTGCTCCGGTCATTTCTTATTGTAATCCCAGTACGAGCGTGAGACGGGTCGGAACAACCGAATTATCTTCCTCTGACACATTTTCTATTTTTCTGGTCACTGGTCTTTTATTTTCGCGAACGGCGCCTCCGGAATGATTAGTTATTGTTTACTTATTCTACTTTTTGTGTACTAGACAAGTCCTTGGACGGTGTCGGGTTCATAGGAATCACAATCATGCCATTAGGAGTTGGAGCAAAACAGAGCTTTTCATTGGTCATGGAACCCGATTAGCAGATTCAATTCTCGTGTGTCTCGTGCGAGAAGACAAAAACTACTGTAAGTGTTAGTAAGTGTTAATAATCAGCGACCGCCTAGAAGCCTGAAGGCATTCCCGAGCAATCGCCGAACCGCCAGAGAAGCAGATCCCGCCCGCCCATCGACACTGATCGTACGTCACCCGGCCTATGCTGCTCGGTCTTTGTAGTCGTTCTGACCTCATTTCGCCTCATCCGAATTTTTCCCTATCTTGAGTGGTGGCTCTTCTATATTCTTTCCTCTCAATCCATCCTCGCTCAATCCTGCAATTGATACATATAATCAACCATTGACTTCGCTATCTGCTTCAGTCCAAACAAACCTACCGCCCACAACTAAAATTCTAATACCGTCACCATGAAGATTCTCAGCAAGGAAGAAGAAGACGCTCACTACAGGTACGTACACCCAATATATCTTCCAGGCGATCGCCTACCACCCTAAATCAACCAATTACTGACCAATCCCATCAGAGAGGTCCTAAAGGGCGGCACACTCGGCGGCGTGGTCGGTCTCGTCGGCGGTGTCGCAGGCGTGATGGCCGCCTCGCGACGGTACGCCACCATCCGCAACCTCACCCTCCCCATGAAATCCTTCCTGGTGACCTCCTCCGGAACCTTCTTCGGCATCATCGCCGCCGACCACGCCTCGCGCTCCTTCGAAGCCTCCCGCAACGTCGAACGGCAATGGTACGAGACCCGTGAGGAGCGTCTCCGCCAGGAGGAGCTGGCGGGGATGAGCTTCGTCGACCGCGTGACGGCCTTTGCGCGGCGCGAGAAGTACAAGATCGTCGGCGTCACGTGGGTCGCCAGCATGATCGGCTCGTTTGCCATGGTCAGCCGTAACCCGTACCTTACCGGATCGCAGAAGATCGTGCAGGCTCGTGTGTATGCGCAGGGCTTGACGCTCGCTGTGCTGGTTGCGTCGGCGGCGTTCGAGATCTCGGATCAGCGGAAGGGTAGGGGGTTGCTTGATGCTGCGAAGAAGGGGAAGAAGGCCGCCGGGGAGAAGGAGGCTGCTCCGACTCCTACCCCTGCTGCCCATGATCCGCAGAGCGGCGACCTGTGGAAGGATATGGTTGCTGCTGAGGAGGAGCGGTTGAAGCAGAAGCATCAGCCGCTGTATGAGAAACCTCATGAGCATCAAAACGACGTGAGTGCGCAGTCTGCGCCAGCACCGACGGAAGAGAAGAAGGAAGAGGAGGAGGAGGAGGAGAAGAAGAAGAAGAAGTGAATTGTGTCTTGCGGATTTTTTTTTTTTCTCTTTTTTGGGGGGGTGAAGCTCCTTGAAGCGTGGGGCCCTTGTCTTTTAACTCCTTAGACTGCTTGTCCTGCTTTGTTATCTCTTTTGCATCTTGTGTCGGGATATGGCGTCCAGGTCTTTTTTATTTTTATTTTTTTTTTTTTTTTTTTTTGGTTTCAAAACTTTCCATGTTTGATACATGGTCGTGTATAATGGTGATGTACAGGATATGTTCAATCAATCTCATCTCTATCAGTCTTTTCCTTTTTCATTTTCTTTTCATTTTCATTTTCATCGATGTTCCGGCTACGAATGATGTTCAACTCAAAATGATCGAGTGTTCGACATAGAAAGCTCATCACATTTCATTATTTCGCATGTCCTGCACTTAGGCGTACATACCAGGTTGGTAGTACAATAGAAAAAGCCCTAACTCCACACTAGCATTCCTCCCTTCAATCAAACTCCGTAAGGCAAGTAGCGTCTACGGCTCTGGGTCAATCTTCTCATTTCGAGCACCGGGGTTGGTACCCAGGTACGCCGAAGCCTCGAGATTGTTGAGTCGGTCCTCCTCCTTGTCCAGCGAATAGTGGGTCAAGTAGAAGAGGTTACCAGCAACGAACGCCAGAACGGCCACGAATCCATAGTTCCAGATCAGGAGCGGGTCGGTGGACAACGCAGTAAGTCCTTGCTGGATAGCAGACGAGATCGCGTTCATGAAGAGGAAGATCGATTGGACTGTAACAACAGTTTAGTGATAGAGCTGGCCATCGACACGGGCAACGACATACCTAAACTCTTCATATTCCTGGGAGCCTTTGTGAATGCATACTCATAACCCGTGATGGAGGTGAAGATCTCCGAGAAAGCGATCAGGACATACGGCAGGGTCTGAACCCACACGTTGATTGGTGCCGGGCTGTCACAGCTACTGGGTTGGTCGCCACACGGGCTCATCTTGTAGATGTAGTATTGCGTGACAGCAGCCGCTATCATGGACATGGAGGCAAGGATGTAGCCGACATAGATCTTCTTGAGGGGGGTGAAGTTGAATCCCATCCTGCGGAGACCGGGGTAGATGAACTGATCCATAATGGGAATGAAGATGATCAATGCGAGAGGGTCCAGGTTATTGATCAAGTCATTAGGAACACCGTGCAGCTCCATCGTGGCTGCCTGCGAGGTCAGATTGTTGGTCATCTGCCCATAGGCCAACCCTATAATGTAGGTAAGTCCTGTGTTCTCGATGTTGATGATTTGAAGAGACATACAGTAGACAGGGTACCAGAGGAAGACAGCACACGCTTTCACAGCTCTGCGTACTTCATCGACCCACTGGTCATCAAACGTCATCCACTCGGGCTTATTTTGAACCCTGCTAGGCTTCACTCTCTCCCAGAAGTCAGGAGACTGGCAATTCCGTACGCTACGAATGAACTGTCAGTACGAAGAGAGATCAACACGAAGCGAGGGCCACTGACAATCTCACGGGATTCCACGACCAGCGGCCTTTTAGAGCAAAAGCCCAGAGCTTGAATGCTTTCGCGGAAACCGAGCCGGTAGCGGGTGTGACCTCGTACTTGTTGCGGCATGCAAAGATCACAAGAGGACAGAGCGCAAACAAGACGGTTGGAAGAAAGAATGCAAGCCAGAATCCCACGTATTTCTCGGCATACACCATGGCGATTGAGCCAACCAAGGCGCCGACGTTGATCATGAAGTAGAAGTACAGGAAAATTCGAGTGACAGTTTGGGCAGGGTCCACAATGACACGCTCGCCTGTCTTGGGCATCACCTTGATGAAGGACCTTGTTTCCTTGTGCTGTTCAGCAATCAGAGGGGCAATGTTTGACCTGTTATGTGTGTGTTAGCGCATTCTCTCACATCTACAACAAGGCGACGGGTATCTGTACTTGAAACCTCCCACACCAACTCCAAAGATGACCAGACCGACAGCGAAACATCCCAGAGCGCCATGTGGATGCGCGATAACAGATGGCAAGGCAGCTATAATCAGGATGATGTGTCCAACCATGGCAAAGGCGATTGAAACCTGAATCGTCTTCAGTCGTCCCCAGAACTCGTCGGCAATGTAAGCACCCAGAATAGGCATCAAGTAACACCAGAACGTATTGACTAGGGTAAAGTGTCAGACATAGACTGATAGTACATGTTTAGAGGCAAGATACTCACAAGTTGTCAGACCAGTAGACGCTCTTTGACCCATGCCTAGGGCACCGGACTGTCCATGGTGACCGGCTCCAGTGCTCGAGCCATCGGGGAGAGGCTGCTGGATGAAGTTGACGACTGGGATAAGGTGAGCTCTTCTCCATTAAGTAGAGTCTGAGAAGGGCTCAATACGTACAGACTGCAGTGGTTCCATAGTAGGAGAAACGCTCGCAGAGTTCGACAAAGGCGATCGTGTACGCAGTCCAGTGAATCTTGCCAGCAACGCGACGGAGAGTGTGTTCTTCTTCTTCAGTGGGAATTTCGCGACCTTGATCATCAAGTCTAGGAGCTGTAGCAGCCACCGTAGTCTCGTGTTCTTTTACTGGGACGAGGTCCAGAGACTGCTTGGGGACGTGAGCCTGAGCTACGACCACCAAGTCTGCCGCGTCGACAGGATCACTCATGACTGCAGGTGGCTGATACAAGGCTCAAAAACCGTAGTAGAGATGGAACGGAAAGGAAAGGGGGAAGGGTTCGCACGTGGAAGAGAAAAGAAAGCAAACACTCGCGGGGGAGAGTGAAGCATAAATAGGAGCAAGCTGGGAAGAGCAGAGACAAGCGTGGAGTGAGGGGAGGAGAAGAAGGTTATCCACAACAATATCGCACCAGTCCAGATGTCTATCGCTGGTCAAGTACTCTATCGTCTTTCACCGTCTGGATGTCGCTCGTTAGCTAGCCACTTCGACCGCTTGGACTCAACACTAATGGGCCTGTTCTTCGCCTCTTGACTGAGCTAATCGCACATTATTCCATTTGATTGCCCGCCCGATAGGGAAGTCGGGCGGGCATTCCCAGACCGTCCTCGACTCTCTAGGTGGACTCGGAGATATTGTGCAGGGTGGGACTGCAACTGGCTATCACAAGGTTGGTGAGACTAGGTACGAATTGTTATCCCCCACCCCCCCTGGTTGCTCATGTGGTTGGGTTTCTAGCGCCCATCTAGATAAATGAAGTCTAAGTCTAATCCTTGAAACTCATGGCAGTAGTACACATGTTTTTGTAAGCTATTGGCCCTCGTGGTCTTCCGTCCGCCGCTTCCAGCACGAAGGAGGATGACTATTGGGTACGCATCGCGAACCTGGACGGCCCTGGACAACCCTACAAAACTCAATTGGATTTCGAGGACAGGAAAAATGATTATTGACTGATATAAGGGGCCATTGTACCTGTTAGTCCGTCCAAATGATTTCCTCTGCAACCAATCACTGCATTGACGCAGACCGCGATAGGTGGAGTGACAGACATGGCAAACGCCATTACCCTTGGCATCCGGCAAGAGTACCAAGCTTAGCCTTGGACTCCGGTCACGCAGATGATAGACTTCCTCATTCAAACCGGTACGTCTTCGTCGCAGGCACAGGAGGAAGCACGCAAAGGCAGGGTGGCTAATTCTTTCCCCGCACAAGCCCTTGGTTTTCGCCGATCTGTTCTCGACAGTCGACACACAGGGACATTATTCATTCTCGCCGCTATCTCAGTTCAGCGATTTGCTCCGTACCGCATGTCTTTCGATATAGACTGGAAAGAGCTGAGTGATTGCATGACGATCCAAGCGGATGCGGAACAGCGAAGCTCTCGTGAGACCTTTCCATCTACACATCAAAAAGGAAATGGAATACTGTGCCACCTCCAGGGGTCTTAGGCCAGCAAACACGTCGTAACATGCTGTTTTGGTGAGGTTACATTGTAGTCGAAACCTTCGAGATAATGCCCTGTTCAGGTCTTTCTGACTGGTCCGCTTATAAACGGGGCCACCTGTACCACCAAGAACAAAGCGAAAGGGTTGAATGGTACGTTCAAGGTTAATAGTTATGGGTTGCAAGTGGCAACCAATACAAACCGAATCCAAAGTTGGCAGCTGGCAAAGTGCGATGGCTTGACGCTATATCACACCACAGTTGGCACTGATAACGCCAAGGAAAGCGGCCAATAATAAGGTTTGCCGGCTTCAGGAGGCCCAGGCGATGTCGCAAAGCGAAGCCTTTCCAAGCCATCTAGCCGTCTTAGCAGTGGAGCTTGCGCTTATCCAAAAGAGATTCACAGTCCTCGCAGCCTCGGACAAGCCCGACCCACGAGACTATGCGTTAAAGCTTGTGGGAACGTGGCGTCTTATCCCCCCACTCCCAGAATGAGGTCCACAATATTCCTATCTTTCCAAAGACCGGTTGCGATAACAGGTGTTCGAGAATAGCCGATTGGGAAGATTCCAACTCTGGAGCCACGTGCAATCGCACGGGCGTCATGTGCGACTGTTATCTACGGATGTAACAGATGATACCACAACCAGGAATATTGAACAACCGAGTACAATGATATAAAGAGACAGCTGTGTTGCTGCAGGAGACAATCTGTTCATGATAAGCGACGATATATTACCGAATCGGCTACAGACGGGCACTGTCTCTCTCGTGTGATAACCTAACTGTCATCATTGAGTCAAAGACAGGTGCAAGCTTTTGAATGGATTTGCGAGTGATGCTATATCTATCGATCTGCCACATTGTTGTACTACCGGAAATAATAGTGTCTAAGTAGATCCATAATTCTTTGGGTTTTAGCAACCTCTCGGGCATAGCTTTCTCAAATACAGTTTTTTGGAGACTGATTTATTTTATGAATGGACAAGCGATCCAGGGGCATCCATACCCCGAGCAGCGACTCCGGCTCCTTATCTTCTTAGGCATCTCGCTGTTGTAGCACTGACACCTTATGGCTTCATTGCGGACGGCACAACCACTTGGGGAGGCCCGTTCAAGGGATGG